AAGGGCTGTTCGCCGGGGTTCGTGAAGCCGTGCGGGGGGCTGCGGCACCCCGCGGCTCTTCCCTCCTCGCCGTAGCCGCCTCCCCCGGCAGTGAGCACCGGTGAAGGAGCGGGTCGAGCTTTTCCTTCCGAGTTGGTGTTTGCAGGAGAATTACGGAAGGCTTCGGGTCTCCCCCTTGGGGCTGGAGCGATTTTCATTGTGGTGCTTCTCTCGTGGCTTTGGGCACAGGGTACTTGCCCCGGGGGGGCACTGCCGTTCGCAGGGAGCGCCCTCTCCCTTTGGCGGTGTTGGACAGCGAGGGCAATGCACAGGTTCCCATTTCTGCGTTACACGGGAGACACCGGGCTCCTGTGAATGAGCGAGTGGATTCACGCGACTCCTTTGTTCTTTCTCATACATTTGTGTACTTTTCTCCCTTTCTATTAGCCTTTAAAGGCCTTGCAGCAGAGTACCAATTTTTAGCTTATAGTCTAGAGAAGGGAAGTTTGCGCCTGGGTCTGATAACTCTGATAACACAAATCCGGGGATGGCCAGCGCTGCTAGGTGGAGACAGATCTGTCAGGGAGATAAAAGGCAGCAGTACTCGCTTAGGAAATTAATCCACGAAGTTCTTGGAACTGATGTCTCAGGGAGTGGTTTTTACGAGCAAGGGGAGCCCTGTCCTTTCAGCTGTCAAGTTGAAAGCAACTGAGAGCAGACCTGCCTGAGGGCAACTGAAATGCGGTGAGCTTAAGTTCCTGCTTCCTCCTCACGTTCCTACTCTTTCTCCTTGCTCGTGTCTTTGCCTACCATTGCCTCCTCCAGCATTTTTCTTGGCCCCTGTACTCCAAATGCTGGAGCAGCAGAACCGTGGCAACATAAAAATAGTTTCCTGTGGTTTTAATGCATTAACGAGGCAATCACTAGCAAAAAGGGAGGGGGAAGCCAGGCAGGAGAGGAGTAGGGAGAGTGGCAGAGCGGCAGTGAGTCACCAGGTGGATTCAGCCATCTGTGGAGCTGTACCCCCAGGGTGCGCTCACAATGAAATGAAAACCTCACAGAATGTGAAGGACTTGTCTCCGAGGTTTACCTGTCCCTGCACAACTCCTCTCCCAGCTGCTTCTGGCATTCATATAGCAAAGTGAGCTGCTTCCACTTTTCAGCCTGGCCAGAAAAATTTCTCTTTGGAGGGGAGGAGATGTAGTATGGATTTTCGTGATCTGAAGTGCCTTACCTTGTCATGAAAGAGTCACCTGAGCTGGTGGGAGGACACAGGTGGGTGGCAGAGGACTTCTGACAGCAGCAACATGCTTCAGCTCAAGTTTTGCTGATCCTTGGCATTTTGCAGCATCTGCTTTTGCATTAGAATTTAATAGTTGCCTAATCATATGAAGGTCTTCTATATCTCTTCTTTGTACTGGGAATAGGAAAGGAATTTTTTTTTTTTCTTCTGTCTTAAAGCCTTCTCAGGAGCTCACAGCATATGATACAGTCCTGATCATTGTCCAGACATTTCAGCTCTCCTAGTTAATGCTGCCATTATGGTAAAGATGTTCTTTACCTAAGAAGAGAGCTTGATGGTTTGTCTACTACCTAAGGCTTCCCTAATGGTTGCCAGGAGGATTTAGAAGACCATGGTGATGCCCTTTCATCTGTATGTTGACAAGGCAGGTAGCCACAGGAGGCGCTTGCGCTGTCTGCAAACTATTCCTGAGTAATCCTGTTCCATGTGTGCTTGGTACATTTTCTTTCAGCCAGACGGAGAAGTAAAAGGAGCACTTGTAGTTTGAAAGGGAGGTTGTGTTCTGCAAAGGGAGGATTCCTTAGCTCACCGTGTTCCCTTTCTGTTGCTCTACGCTTTCTGCTGTTGTTGTTTTCTTTATTACTGGATGGTTTATCACATCTGACCTTTTAGGTGTGTGTATGCTTATTTTATGTTTTCATGTGGCTCTGTCTAGTTTTGTTGCAGTAGTGCTTTTCAACAGCTATAAACCCCAGTGTATTCAAGCTCTAACATACATCACAACCTAGGCATGTTTTCCTTCTTGCTACAAAGAAAAAGCCTCAATAAAAACCTGACAGATGCCTTGGAATCTTGTATTTATAAAAAATGATGAATTTTCTTTCTCACTTAAGTGTTTGTTAAATTGTTTATGTCAGGTTACCTCAAGAAGTACTTTGTGGTACTCAGATGAAATGTCTTTTTGGGTAGAAATGTGTCATTTTCATTGTTTTACTTGCTGGGTAGTGATGTTATGGAGAAAGATCAGAAACTAAGTAGTCTTGCTACAGTAGAAGTGGGAAAGTGTAGTAGTAGTAATCCCATTTGTTATGGTAGCGCATCTCTCCCCTCACAGTTTTTGCAAACACAGATTGTCCCCTCAATGATTAAAAGTGCAGCTCTGTGATGAGTTGATGAGGGAGAGCTCGAGGAGGCAGGGCGCTGCGCCTGAGGGCATGCTGGTACAGGGGAACGGGAACTCAAGTTGGTTTTGTGTCTGTTCCTCCTAATCTTTGGCAGATCTTCTAGTCTCATAGTTGTCCTTTCACTGAGCACCACTAGGAAGAGTTTGACTGCCCACCCCACCAGGTACCTATACAAATCGATGACATTTTCCCTTCTTTTCTCAAAGCTAAACCTCCCCTCGTATGTTGGGTGCTTCAGTCTCTTAATCATCTTTGTGGCCAATTGAAAATGAAGCTATTTCTAATAGAATAAAGCATATCCATTCTAATAATATATGTATTATTTCCATTATTAATCTAGAACTTACATGAAGGAGGCAAATATTGTGCTAACTTGAATATTACAGAAAGTGAAAGGTGCAAAGAAAGTGCAGGCAAAGAAACCCCTGCCTCTTTTCCATGCTACCTGATGCTTTCATTACCGAATATGATTATCTTCACTGAAATTTATTGGGACAATATTTGCTTTTGAAATACTGAAATTCCTGAGTAAAGTAAGACAAAGATGCATAACAGCTGAGAGTTGCATTGAGGGCTTTCTAGAGGTCACTCAGTCAATTGAAGAATGCTTCTTAAGCATTTGAATTTATTGTATAGATATAAAAATTGTGATGTAGCTTTGTGATGTAGACAGCCCACCATTTCCTTTGACTGATCTGTTTCTGCTGTCAGACTTGGGCTGCATGCTTGTACTGGAAGGCAGGATTTTTTTTTCAAATCAAAATTTGTACTGCTGTCAAGCACAAGTTGGGAGTTTAATCTGAGGATTGTTGTATAAATGAATAAAACCTGGAGAAGTAGGTGGACAGTTAAACTGTTTCTGAATATTAGGGTCCTTTTCTTCATTGCTCGTCTCTCTGTTCCAGAGCTGCCAGACTGGAGTAACTCAGTGGATAGCAGCATGCAGTGGATTATTACAGACAACTGCGGTCCAAGGCCAGTGTAGACGGATGCTCTGTGGTATTTTCCAGGTAGGATATCAGACTATGTTAAAGTGTGTAAAAAATGGGATAAGTTTAAATTAGTAAGAAAAAGTCATGTTTTTAAATAAACAGGCTTCCAAAAGTGGTGTATTTGCTGTCTGTGTGTTGCTGAAATACCAAGACAATTTACAAGTTTTCCGCTGCTAAAAGGGTGAGATTCTGCTTGTCTTCATTCCAGCTGTGTAGTCTTTTAATGGATCCAAAGGGTCTGTCGTGAGTAGATTAAATGCAAAGGCCAAATGTACGTCACATTTTCCCAAAGCAGCTATTACAAACTAGTCACGATTGTATGTAATTTCCAACGCTAATTTATAGAATGTCTCCACTGTGCAGTAGCCTTGGACGTGGATGGTATGTTTACCTAGCACACCACAACGTTGAGTAGTGTTGTTTCAGTGGAAAGCATTGGTTTGTAGTTTTGCTTCCAGTTCTGTAATAGCATGCGTAGTGTCAGATTGTGTCTGTCCATAGTAAATTAACAAGAACATCATGTAGTAGCAGTTAATGATAAAGAGGTGAAAAATGCATAGAGAATGGGACTACATGCAGGCTCTCTGAGCAGAATTAGGGTGTATCTCTTGGTGTTTCCTTCTTGCAGACAATCAAATGAGAGGAGATTGAGCCTCCTCTTTGTCAACCTGTATAATATGACTTGTATCCCAGAGCCATGACTTACAGAATTAGAAACTTGTCTGTAAGTTCTTTGGCTTGGATGCCTTTTCTCAGATAAGACCTTCCAGTCCTGGGAAGATTGCCTGTGATTTTTGTGACACAACCATACTATTAACGCACCAGTCCCTATCAGGTAGCAAATGACATTGGGACTAGAGAGGGAAATGAGCATTGATGAAGTTTGGCTTCCTCTGGGCCACCAGCATGTTCAGTAGACTTCTGGGGATGACTGCTGTGAACAAACCAGCATATTTACTTTGTCTGAATTTATTCATAAACAAGTTACTGCTAATCTGGGTGTGCTGAGAGGCTATGAGAGGTGTTCTGTTCAGTGTGCAGCTCCTTACCTGGAGATCCCACTCACTCCTACTTGATAGTTTTCCTTATGGTGCAGTAGCTCTGTAATACAAATCATGTGCTGTGAAGTTTTAGTGGTTGCAGTGATAGCTTTTACCCTGTAAGTTGTTCTTCTCAAGTCCTGGCCACAAAGACAGTTGAATAGACTATAAAGTTGTAGACAAAGACAGCATAAACTCTGTTTCTCTCCAAGGCCAGGAAAAAGAATTGTTCTTTATCAAGAGATAAAACCCGTAATTAGGAGTAGTATGTGAGGAAATCAAAGCAGATGGCCTGTGGTTTTTGAGGGTGGAGTGTTCTGCTGGTCCGCTTCATCAGTACAGTTACAGAACACTAGAAGATGCGTGGTGTGGAGCAGTAAGCATGGACACCCGTTTTGTTTGTAACAGTTATGATAATAAATTTGTGCTTTTTGTAATATAAAGTTTTTCAGGATTAGAATCGTAGAATCATTCATGTTGGAAAAGACCTTTGAGATCGAGTCCAACCATCAACCCTACTGTACTAAGCACACCCCTAAACCATATCCCCCAGCACCACATCTAAATGACCTTTAGACACGTTAAGGGATGGTGACTCCACCACCTCCCTGGGCAGCCTATCCCAAAGTCTAACAGCCCTTCCAGTGAAAAAGTTTTTCCTAATGTCAAGCCTAAACCTACCCTGCTGCAGCCTGAGTCCGTTTCCTCTTGTTCTGTCATTACTTACCTGTGAGAAGAGACCAGCACCTGCCTCTCTACAGTGTCCCCTCAGGCAGTTGTAGAGAGCAGTAAGGTCCCCCCTCAGCCTCCTTGTCTTGAGCCTAAACAGCCCCAGTTCCCTCAGCCGCTCTTCATAAGACTCACTCTCTAGGCCTTTCACCAGCTTTGTTGCCCTTCTCTGCACTCTCTCCAGAACCTCAATGCCTTTCTTGTATTGAGGGGCCCAAAGTGGGCCCCACCAACCCCCAGTACAGTGGGACAATCGCCTCCCTACTCCTGCTGACCACACTGATACAGGCCAGGATGCTGTTGGCCTCCTTGGCCGCTTGGGCACACTGCTGGCTCGTGTTCACCCGGCTGTCAACCAGCACCCCCAGGGCCTTTTCTGGCAGGCAGCTCTCCAGCCGCTCATGGGGTTGTTGTGGCCCAAGGGCAGGACCCGGCACTTGGCCTGGTTGAACCTCATACAGTTGGCCTTGGCCCATCGATCCAGCCTGTCCAAGTCCCTCTGGAGAGCCTCCCTACCCTCGAGCAGATTAACACCCCCACCTCACTTGGTGTAGACTGAATTGTAATTGACTTGGGAGCAAACTAAGGGTAATTGGTGTAAAGTTGAGTGTTTACTAGTCAATGGTCTCTTCATTTTTTCCTTTTATTTTCTTTTATCATTTTTACTAGAGACGCAAGGCTGGCCAGTTCCGACTGTCTAAATCCTGTGGTGGATTGATCCAAGCCAATGGAGCCATTACACAGCAAAACAGATTGTTTTACAATACAAATAAGGTTAGAAGAGTTTGATGTTTTTACTGTCAGAGGGCACATTGTGCTAGGGATTATACAGATACAGGTAACAAAACACTTCTCAAAACATGTAGGAGGTGATTCAACTTTTATATGAAATGCTTTACTCTAGCGTGAGCAATCGGTCCAATAACTTGAGAAGCGCTCTCTGTTCCTTTCCAGAAAATGAAGTGCTGCCGTAGGAGGGTGCGGTTTCAGTTGGGTTATCCGGGGTGAAGGTTCCAGTGATAAGCCTGAGGGCTTCTTTCCAATGAGGAAAGAAATTAAATTAAGGAGAGTAGTTACTGGGGTGGGGGGCAGATGTTCCTTTCTTACCCTTAAAAAGGTAAACACAGAAGTTGCCCATACAGGTTAGAGGTGACAAGATAGTTTGGGAATAATGTGTAATGAGAGTTTTGCTATCTGCTAAACGCAAGGTTTTCGTGTGATCTACTAGTAACAGCTAACTATTGTGTAATAATTTATTTACCGTTTGTCTGTACTATTTTGTTAATTTGTGGTCTCTGCATCTTTTACATTTCTTGTCTTTTGTCTTGGAATAGAAGTTTTCTGGATCATGAATCATCTCCATAAGATTAGTTTAGCACTTAATTCGAGGGAGTCAGCATCTCTCAACTAATAAGTATCGTGCTCCTGCTCTTGTTAATGCAATGTGAAGAAAATGGCAAAATGGAATGTGTGTGTGAGAAATGGGAGGACAGAAGGAAAGAGAAAGTTAGGGATTGATGGGTAAAACTTGCATAAAAGCAACAATCCCAGTTTGCTATCTGCCTAGTTGTGTATTTTACTGGTGTAGAGTTAGAGGTAAATGCTGAGTACTTTAAATGGGCTATTTTGACATGGGTAGACAAAATGAAAGAAAACAAGGAGACATGTGGAAGGAAAGAACCCTTGGCTGCTGTTTGCATCTGGTTCTTAACTAGAGGTTTTCTTTTTTTAGTCAATTTTTCAGTGTTTTGCAGCTGGAGAGGTAGACCAAACATTTTCCAAAGAGACTGAAGCACACAATTGTAATTGCACAATTTACCATGGCCAGACCTAAGAACAGAGTCCAGGCTCTCAAGCATGGTGCTTCCCCTTTAACCTTCCTGGTTAAAATAGCCTTGGTGTGGGAAGCCAGGCAGGATTTATGACCAGAGGGGAAGCCTTTTACAGCAGTGTACGTAAGGTTTGAGGTAGATTTTTGGCCTGCAACCTCATTAATTTCAATAGAGATGTACTTACTTGTCTTTGAAATGTGCACTCTTTGTGGGAAAGTGATTTAGAATTAAGGGTGAGCTTCAATTGTTTAACTTTTATATTTAGTGTCAAAATTAACAGGATTGTTGTCTTTGAAAACTGAATTTCATGTATTGAGCAGGAAAGTCAGACTGAGCTGGGCTTATCTTCCCTTTCAGTGTCTTGCGGGGCTTGTTTTGAATGAGTTATAAAACGTATTTTTGTAGTTTCCTTTATATGTTTTCTAGATCTGATTTTATATATGCTAATAGGACTGTTTAATTGCATTTGGCTGCAGTCCTAGCATTGGCAGGATGAGCTGCATATCTCTATTCACAGGTTGAACTGAACCCTCACTGCTTAAATCCCCTCTCCATCTCCTGGGCTAGTCCAGGCAGACTTGCAGAAGGATTAAGCAAGAATCATGGCATTTCATAGAAAAAGGCTGTTTTCCAGTCAATCATTTTTTGGTGATGAGCTTACATGAGCTTTGGTTAGATGGGTTAAAAGTGGAGTAATTTGTTGATAACAAATAGTTGAATTGAGATAATTGTGGGTTTTAACTTAACTTCCTCTGCATAATGAAAAATCCATACCGAGGGAGACTTCATAATGCGTTTGTAGATAGGAGCCACGTAGTAAAATAAATCTGCCTAGGTTGACTAGGGGTTTAGTATGATTCTGATTCCTGTGGAGGAGATGAAAGTTGATTTAATGAGATTGGTATGGCAGTGGTTATTGGGGCACAAGTTCTGCATTGAGCATAGCCTGTCATTGCCTGGCTGGAGGGGGGGCTTGTGGAATTATGGTGTAAGGGCAGGTGTCATTTTTAGTTTTTCATGGGGTTACTAAAAATGGGTTTAAATGCTCATGTTCATGTCCATGTCAGTAGATTCACTGGGTCCATCACATGTGGCAGAGGGTGGGAAAGTGCCTTTGCAGACGCTTTTGTTCTGCATGGTAATAGGGGACTTGGTGAACAGGTTTAGTGGCCAACATTCAAAGCAAGGACTTGAGTATTGAAGGAGGTCCTGGACAGTGTTATGCTGTTTTATTGGGTGACTGATAGGTACTAAAATGGCACTGAGCATGTTTCTTCCTATTTACCTGAATACCAGGTGTGATGGGGTTCAAGATGTGAATAGCCATGTGGATAGTACACAAGTGCAAAGTGTTTTATCTCAAATGCTAAAGGTTGTGTGTGGATATGCATAGGCATTGATTATGTCTCAAAGTTACAATTTTTGTCACCTTTAGAGTTAGTTTTTAGTTGAGTATAGCAACTTGTGCAGGATATGTGTCTGTGTTTTAATATGTATTTATCATTTATGCTGTTTCAAAAATTACTATACTAATGTTAGGAAAGCTAGGGGGAATATAGCCGGGATGATCAGAAACGTGAAGAGCCTTCAGTAGGAGAAGAGGCTATTTTAGGACCCTTCTAAACTGAGGAGACATAACTAATGGGCATATGGATGATACTGGCCTATGAAAGTCATAAAAGACACTGAAAAAGGAAATAGGAAATGGTTGTTTGTGCCTTCTTATGGGAAAACTGGGAGCACCCAATGCAATGGCAAGGTTGGATTTGAAACAGGTGCAAGGGGATTGTTTTTTTATGTAACTAAACTAAAACTCATGTGTGTTGTGGGAGGTGAAACACTGGGGTGCTTGAGACGCATCCAGTTGTAGCTGCCAAAACTGAATGTGCGGGTACGTTTTCTGGTGCAGGAGTGACTGTCAGGAGGGGGGCGGTTCCCCTCAGGAAGCTGCGGAGGGTGTGTGCCGCGTTTCTCTGCTTCTCTGCCTCATCCAAGCATCTGCTGCTGGTCCTTGTTGGAGATGGCATCCTGGTCTAAGTGTTTGTTCTGGCCGTGTATGGCAGTCCTTGTGTGCTAAATTGCTTCCCTACTAAGAAAATTCTTTTCTTGGTATGCTCATGTCCTGGGAGGAAGTGTTTAGGGTAACATTCCAGCTGCTTAAAGCAATTTAACATTTCTTTGGTCAGGGAATTTTCTCAGACTATAGTGTCTGTCAGCTGCATTCCTCAAGGATGTGCAGGAGATTGACGTGCGTTAGATTTTGGTTAGATGGGTTAAAAGTGGAGGAATTTGTTGATAACAAAATGTTTATACTGCATACTTAATTCATTAGAAATTATTTGCTGGAGTACCAATGATAATTACTGATGGCTGATTGCTACTGCCACGGTGCTTAGAGGCAGAATGCCCCAAAGATTTCTTACCAGTCCCATGGTGTTTAAGGTGCGTAGGTAATCTGGAAGAGAGCCTTTATCTTCATGTTTGCAGACACTGCAAATCATTGGGGACTAAATACTTTCCTGAAGTAGATTTTCTGCAAGTATCATTTAGATTAACTGTAAGGGGAGTAACCATCTGGGGGAGCTTTTCAGTAAGGGCGTTCATGTAGCTCCACTGGTTTTGAGATGGAGCCGATTGATTTATATAATACATAATTACTCTTGAATATGAGATGCCTGTCAGAGGAAAAGAGGGCATGTGACAGGTTAGTTTTATTTGTTTCTGTGATTTGTTTTCTTGTTTTATCTGCAAAAGGTTTAACCCAGGTAAAGACAGGCATCTAGAAAGAATATGGGAATCTAGAATGGGCACCATATTTTGGAAAGAAGGTTTCTGTACAGACTATTTGAGTCTGAGCTTCCAGTGGGATGCTTTTATCAGAATGGTGATGCAATGTTTGCATTCATAAACAGAAGAATGTTACGTAGGAAAAACAGTGTAATATTTTGCAGAGGAGACCTAAATATGTATTTGTTTCGTTGAACAAAGAAAATAAACAAAACCTCTAGCATTTTTGATTAAAATTGTAGCTTTTCTAGTTAAAATGATTTCTCAGATTTCGTTGCTAAGATTGAAATATGTGATGTTCTGATTTTACAGCATCTTTCTGCAAAAGATTCCTTGCAGCCATCTGAAGAGAAAGTGGGTGCTTTCACAAGGATAATAGAAGCAATGGGTTTCACAGGACCACTGAAGTATAGTAGATGGGTAAAGCATTCATTTAATAATTCTTTTGGTTCTTTGGTGCTTTGAGTTCTAAAAAGCAAACAAAACAAACCCTGCTTTTTTTTTCTTATGGTAAGAGCAGTACTTAATGGAAAAGTTCTAATTATTACCCATGTAAATTCCTGTTTTGTGATGTGAGGAATAATAATCCATAGCTTGAACCTCCCTTGATTTGTGCACTGCCATCATTGACATAAGTAGGAATATTGTATTTGGTTTGTAGTCTTAGACCTTCTCGAATTTCTTCAGATACCTTATTTTTCACTTCATTTGTGCACCAGAGAACACAGTAACAGCCATACTAGCTAAGTCAAACACCCACATAGACGATCATCTTGTCTCTAGTGACGACCGATTGCAGTTATCTGGAAGGAATTTAGTTACAGGAACAGCATCTTATGAGACTGTCTTGTGTGCTCCTGCAGCATACAACAGTTGTCTGTTTCAGGACTTCCTGCATGAAACTAGGTATTTTTCTGTAATATCTATTGGTACTATTATTTTTTTCTATGAATTTGTCCAGTTGCACTTTGAACTCCTGTAAGTTTATAGCATTCAATATCAGGGAGTTCCGCAGCTTGAGTACCCACTGGGGGAAGAAGTACAGTTGTTTTCAGTTGGTGCCTTTTAATTTTGTACTTAAAAAAAATGGTGATTATTCTTTCCTTGGAGTGTATGTTCACACTCTCCCTTCCACAGATGATTTTATAGGCTCGTATATTCCATAATATCTTAGTCTTTCTCTGGACCTCCTTCAGAGTTCTGTATTTCTGTGACAGGACGGTCTCCCAAACGGACAGCAGTGAGATATGTTAGGATTGCTAACATAGCGATTGTTTGAGTCGCTGTTCAGTAGTAGCTGGCTGGGCAGAGCCACAGATAGGTCCTCCCACATTTTTGAAGCAGTCCTTTCCTGAAGCGGTCGTTAACATTGACTAAATTAGAGCAGCTCTGTAAGAGATGCCTTCAGTTCCTTATGCAGAAGGAAAAAGGCAGATGAAATTTGTAGTTTGTTTGCTCTGAACTAGGACACAGGATAAAGGGATGAGAGGAAAAGGCAGCTTGAAGGAAGGGCTGAGCCCAACTGTGCAGGAATTAAAACTTGTAAGATGTTTTGACTATCTGCAAGGTGGAGTGAATGTCCTCTGAGACTGGACTGAAACTGTTGCTAATTGCATCTCACTCCTCGGAAGGAAATTATAAAGAAAAGATAACTGGCACTAAAGGGGGTTCGGTATTTTGGTTAAAATCAGTTGCATTTCATCAGGTGATGCTAAACCTCACAAGAGAGTAGTTTCTCTCCCATGTGCTTGTGTACATACTGCTGTGATAAAGATTCTTCTTAGCTCTAAGTGTTGATTCAGAGTTCTCCTTAATTACTACTCGTTACTGCCTGCTTTTGGCTGGGGAACTTGGATTTGTAGAGAATTATTTTGTGGTTGGGGCCCAAGAGACCCGAGTTCGTTTTTGGCCTTGCCACTGCTCTCTGTGAGATCTTAGGGAATTTTCTTAATATTTCTCTGCTTTATTCCATTTTCTCCTCCCTTCCCCCCTACCTCTTCTACACCTTAAAACTTCCATGATTAGATTTCACCAGTGTCTCCTGTGTTACCTGTCTTGCTTAAGGGCTGGATTGCAGGGACTGTTCTTTACAATATTTTTTTTAATGTCTAGTAATGCCTGGCGTGGGACAATGGCTTTCACCGGGGAGATCTCTACTCCCAAGCCAGGCATCATTTCCTTTAAAAAGGAAACCTTCAGAACTCCAGTAGGCAGTGTCATGCCATTCATCATTTGTGACTCCTTTCTCACTTGTGAAGCTTAGTTGGTCAATTTTCATTTTTTTGTAAGAAAAAAAAAGATATTTTTAGGACATGTCTGGTATGTCACTTCCTTAATATTTAAAACTTAAATTATACAAACCACTTTGAGTGGTATGCATCAGTTAAAGTTATTGGAGGAAACCAGGAATTGTGAGTTGGCATCTTTGGAGTTTCTGGAAGGAAAGCCATTTCATTTATTTTTCTGTAATGACAGTGTTAAATTAAACTAAATTTGCAAGGGTATTCAAGAAGCCGTTTAATCTTTTTTTTTTTTTTTGCCTCAAGGCAAGATTGATTATTCTGGTGTCATTCCTGGGGGATAAGATACTTTAATGTGCTCCTGAAAATCTCAACTGATTGTGATACTCAAAATAAGTCTTTTCAGAAAATGATATCATATGTATTTAACAAAACCAGTGATGTTCATTAGCTCTCATGACGAGTACTTTTAAGTATTGTCTTTTCTTTTTCTTTAGAAAATTAAGGTAGCAGCTTTGCGCATGTACACGTGCTGTGTGGAGAAAACAGACTATGAGGAATTTTTTAACAGTAAGTAATGGACTTGATGGTATTTGGACTACTGCCCTGGTGAGAGAACTTCGGGTGAAAATTCATTAGATATACCTGTGGGATAGGTAAAACCCAGAATATCCTGGACTTTGAAGAATATTGCTTTTTTTATTACCAGGGGTGGGATAAACTAAGAATCCAGATCTCTCTTCCCTTTTTTGCTGTGGTCACATGGTCTCCCATGACCAGCTGTGAGAAGGTCCAGTGTAACTGGGATGCAGGTATGAGCACCATCCTTGTTCATTGATGCACAGGTTTTTTGTGATACAGTGTCAGTTAGATCACAGAGTCCTACCTGTCTCTCTTCCTCATGGCTGGGGCAGGTTTGGCTAGAACTTGGAGACTTTCTATGTTTTACTGACCATGACAGCATTAAACACATATCTTGACTCGGTAGAGAGTATGACTAGGACAAAGACACAAATCCCTCCTTCAAGCATAAAGGAATAGTACTGGCTTGAATTGAGATAGCTTTTCTGTGTTGCACGCAGTTTTTTAGCTATTAGCTAAAAAACCTGTTGCTGCTTTTATTAGTATCAAATCTGGCTGATGAATGGCGATGATGTGGTTTTGGGACTTACATATAAGCTTCAACAGTATTTTATTCTTATGTCTATGATTTAGCTGGTAGTAAACCCGTTGCCTGGATCTGTCCTGTCACCTGAATTCCTGAGCTTGTGGCGTTACAACACACCAGCACAGGTTGGGGCTGCTGCTGCCACCTCTTGAGAGATCAGCTGAAGGGACATCTTCGTGTGTGCATCTAGTGCAGAGCTTATTGAGGGTGGTTTGGTACGTGGTGTTGCTGCTGCAAGATTTTTCCAGTGGTTTTCAGAAGGTTTTCCAAAACTGTGATGTGGTTTCAGTGGTTGCAGGAGTGAGAGAACGCTGTGAGCAGTAGGATTCATCATTAGTGATCAAAAAATTAGAACCTCATTTTTCCTGTGCACACACCTCTCCCCAGCTGTGTGCCCTCTCAGGCTTTCTCAGATAAGTTCTCTTCTGTTTGTCCTATTTGCCTCTCAAATAGAGGCTTTGCTGTTTTTAACTGGTGTCTCACTATCTGCTTAACGGATTAATCGTACAAAGATAGTATAAATGTTGGCCTAGATTAAAATTCAAAGGAATTTCAAAACATGTCTGTGAAAAAGATACTGGCACAGATTTTCAGGCTCAATCTGAATAAAATTACTTCAGTTGTGTCCTTGATACTCTCACTGTTTTAAAGAGAAAATTCCCAGAGCTCCCCCTCACTTTAAACATACCACAAACAGCAGGCAGCCTTTCCTTCAAGTTTCACCATTTCCTCCAGAATATCTTCATTACTCCTTTTGTCATTTTGCTCTGTAGTACAAGTTGTAGCTTGCCCATCTCTGAATTTACACCCAGGGAAGCCTGTGTTTGCATTGACTTGAGACCGTTGTTACGTAAGGAACAAGATAGTTTGTTTTGGTGAGATTGAGAGTGTGTGATGCACCCGTTGGTGTTACAGTAACGCCTGTGGTGTTGGGGACTGTGGTTGTGGTTCCAAAGAAATCATTACTTTCACATAAAAACAGATATAAGAAGTTTCTGTTATTTCTGTCTACTTAGAGCTGCAGCTGTTTGGGGGGATTAGCTCTAAAATTTAACAGGCGTGTGTTCCATGTTTAAAAGGTAGTTCCCCTAACAGACTCTGTGGGGTAGGCAGGAACCTTTTGAATTGATTTGCCAATGAAGAAGCTTTAGGCTGTGGTTCCATGGGCAGCTGAGTCGAAGAAGTGACCAAAGGGAAAAGCTCCGTCTACCTCTGCCTGGGTTCTGGACTGGACAATGATCGTCTCCTCCACTCAACTGTTTGGATCACTGAAAGAAAACGGCCCAGTTTTTTTACTGACTTACTGTTTTGCAGTGGTAGTGATTAAAGTGGCACATGGAAGGGTCTGATCACAGAATGCTTGGGGTTGGAAGGGACCTCTGGAGATAGTCTTGTTCAGCCCCTCTGCTAAAGCAGAGTCACCCAGAGCAGGTCACACAGGAACACGTCCAGGCGGGTTTTGAATATCTCCAGAGAAGGAGACTCCACAGCCTCCCTGGGCAGCCTGTTCCAGTGCTCTGCCACCCTCAGAGTAAAGAAGTTTTTCCTCACATTGAGGCAGATCTCCTTGTGCTCCAGCTTGTGCCCGTTGCCCCTTGTCCTGTCGCTGGGCACCACTGAGAAGAGCCTGGCCCCAGCCTCTTGACACCCGCCCTTTAGATATTTGTAAGTGTTGATAAGGTCCCCTCTCAGCCTTCTCTTCTCCAGGCTAAAGAGCCCCAGGTCCCTCAGCCTTTCCTCGTAGGAGAGATGCTCCAGCCCCCTCATCATCTTCGTAGACCTCCACTGGACTCTCTCCAGTAGTTCCCTGTCCCTCTTGAACTGGGGGCCCCAGAACTGGACACAGCACTCCAGGTGTGGCCTCACCAGGGCAGAGCAGAGGGGGAGGATGACCTCCCCCGACCTGCTGGCCACACTCTTCTTCATGCACCCCAGGATGCCATTTGGCCTTCTTGGCCACAAGGGCACATTGCTGGCTCAGGGTCAACTTGTTGTCTGCCACAGCTCCCAACTGATGGACAGCAGCTGCGGCATAAAGTTGGTGGTGAGGAGTACACCGTTAAGAGAGTGGAACATGGCAAGAAGCAAGAGCTGGCCTTATCAAAACAGCCTTTCAGATGGCTTCTAGTAGGGCTACAAAGCAGCTTGAAAGGGCTGGAGTTTACCTACAGGATTTTTCTGTCTCCTTTAGCCCATCAGGTGCCCTATAGGAAATTGCTGCTGTCTGTCACGCTCAGGGGAACGCTGACATCATGCACCTGTTTTTTTGCAGGATATGGGGATATTATCCTGTTGCGTCCTTCCTAAAATTGTGGTAGTAGCAAAGATGATCTATCAGGAAAGAAAGTCCGTGTTCAAGTTTTGCATCCCTTACCTGATGAATTTTAAGTGCAGAATGTGACTGGAGGAAGAGGTATGTCCTCATAATCCTGAGCATTCATGTCTTCTCATACGCAGACATGTGAACAGGATGTGTTCTGTGGACAGGATAGATTTATTCCCCAGCTGATAATAATCACAGTAATTTCATAGGTAGCTTTACTATCAGACATTTTTTCTGTATCTAACTGTATTCTGAAGGGAATAATTTTCTGTTTAATTATAGGATGGATCTTTCTCCCCGATGAGTTTCCCAGAATAAGGTGTTCCAAATGCCCAAGTTTTAGAGTTGCACTCTTTTTGAAAAGCTGATAGCTGAGGGCAAGCTTGTTGCTTTAGAGGAGTCATCCCTCCTTTAAGTTTACACTGTAGACAGTCCTAATATAGAAGCTAAAAAATGAATTATAAAAATAGAAGTGCAACACTTGGAAAGTTAAAGAAAAAATTCTTCCCTCCTGGGTACTGAATAGGTCTTTAAAAATGTTCCGTATTTCCAGTAGTAAGAGGTGTGAGCTTTGCTTTCCACTGAAGAGTGATTTCTGTGGTGGCACTGATGCATGGTAACCTCTGTCTATTGAACTAAGTGTTTTACTCTGAGTCTTGCCTATGGAACCTTCATTTAATGAAATGGTTTGGTTAATGCAAGCACTGTGTACTCTTGCCCTAGTTAGAGGTGCCTTGGCATGCTTTTAGGTCAAAGTAGTCATTTCTAGGCACACGAACTATTTCTAATAGGAACGACAGAGCCAAAAGCGGAGAAGGGTGAGGGAAACTTGTGTTTAATCTCCAAACATAGACTGTTAGTGTCTTTATACTGTCTTAGAGGTGGCATAGGTGATGTATGGGCACTGGTGCTGAAGCTTGGCACCTCCTAGGCACTGATGGAGTAATCTCTCTGAGGAGGGAGGAATAGCAATGATTTGCTTGGTTCTTCTGGTGGTTGCCTGACCGTAGTTGGCATATAAAAAGAAAGAGGCTGTGAAAAGTATTACTTCATGATCTAGGTGAATCTCCTTCGTAGTACTTGAGAGCCAAGAAGTACAGGAGTCAGGAGGGTATATATTCAACACAGAAAAGATAAGGTCCACTTCCTTGGGGCACATCTGACTGGAGAGTCCATTTCCAAATACTCTCCGGCCTTCTTACAGCTAGTTTGAACAGTCCAGAAGACAAGACCAAGTGCTGGGTAGGCCAAGGTGACTGTGTCAGGTCCTTCTCATTAGGTACTCCTCTTAAAAACTTCTCCAGAAAACAGATGTAGAGATGGCATCCTAGGAGGAAGGTTTAAGATTGACAGGAACTGAAGGACTTGATGTGCACACAGCCCGTAGGTCCATGCTTTTCAAGCACGAGGAAGGGGGATATGGTTTCTGTGCCACGTAGCCTAAATCTCCAGCCTCACATCCTAATGACACGTGCAGATCCGTAGTGTGAACATGCACATGGACAAACCATCCCTGGGAAACCCAGTGGCTGTTGGAGTAGAGCTAAATCTGGAAACAGAAGTTGTTTGTATGGTTGGCGGGTTTAATGCTAATGTAGAAGGGCTAGAGACAAGGTGCGCCCGGAGCGCTGGGGGTTGTGCAGCCGCGTAGTAAACCAGAACAGCGGAGTCGGAGCAAAGACCAGGCTAGCACAGTATTCTGTCCCTGGCAGGAGGCAGCAGCACATGTTGAAGGAAGAGATGGAGCAAAGCATCTGTTGATACTTCCCTGATACTTCACTGTTATTCTCTACTGCTTGGGGCTTCCTGAGCTAGAAGACACAAGTTTGTCTAATTCTCAGTTTTGGAATTCCACCCCCCCCCGCCCCCAGTGTAGATGTTATCTAAGTGAGTTTTAAACACATGAAATCCTTTGGAATCTACAGCGTTCTGTGGCTGCATGTTCTAGAGTTTAAGCCCACGTGTGACAGTAAACGACATTTGCTTCTGATATGTACTGTTTAGGGCCAGAAATTAAATTACTGGAATGCGTTTAGCTTTTGGTGTAGTGACTTTCTGTTAGGCACAAAACATGATTAAATTTATATTAATACTTAGTTTTGTTTTTATGTTTCTCCCCCCTCCCATCAAGGGTGCTGCATGCCTGATACTTTGAATTCATGGTTTCTAGTAGCCCAGCTTCATGTCTGGTAAGTAAAAAGTCAAACAGTAATATAACTGTTTTCAGGACATAGAGTGACATGTACCTTAATGTGACAAAAAGTAGGCTCCGTGGTTATTGATAATAGTGGTTATATTCAATTTACTAATTATTGGATTTGAGCAGTTTCCTGCTAAAGAACAAGAAGTCCCGCAGAGAAGCTAACATATTTTATATCTCTCAGTTCCTCAGTAGTGGAATGATCTTTGCCATGAGTTTTCTAAAAGCATTGCTCAGCCTATGTGGAAAATCTTATCTGGGTGTTTTAGGAAAAGTTTAGATTTATGTAAAAGTCATTTAAATTGGGAGAATTTGTGCTGATTGAAGTTGCTGCTCGTCAGAAGCATTTAACAAGTTATAGCATTGGCATTTATTCTTGCACCTCTGAAATGTACATGCAGGTTGGTGAACGCCAGGTCTACATTGAAAAATATTTAACCCCTTAAACATGACTTTTTTTTCCTTTTTCATTTGTGAAAATAGTAGCCAAAAAAATCAGGTTTTCATCTAGCATTACGTACTTGTAAAGGCCAGAGGGATGCACAAGGGAGTACAGTAATTTTTGTTAAGTGCCAGATCTTTCAGGAAACTGAAGTCCATAGACTTACATTCAGCTGTCCAAAGGCTGAAAGGAAGTTTATAATGAAATAGCTGCACTTAAGCATAGGCCCCTTATTTCCTTGCCTCCTTTTTTTTCCCCTTCCCTCCTTTTTAATTTCCTGTCTCCTCAATCAATTGAAAGATGAGGCAGATCATTTCACTGAAGAATGAATAAATTAGCAGAACCATTGAAATTGTAATTGGTTGATGAAATCAGTGGAATCAAGTAAGGAAGGCCTTTGTGATTCACAGTTTATTTATTTCTTGCTCTTCCCTGTGGAAAAAAAAAAAAGGCTTTAAAAATTGATAAGCTGATCGTTCTTATTAGTATACAATACTGCAATAAATATTCACAACCAAACTGTTTGTAAGTATCTGGGGAAGACCAAAGAGTGGGTAACATGCATCTGCAAAGAACACTTTTTTTTCACATCATAAGATGATGTGGAAAGAAGTTCACATTGACAGAGAAATGTACCCTGTGATACACAAGAGGTACATCATAGATACGTGATTCAAGATTATGCATCTTGAATTTGATGCAGTGTATCTATTAGTATGTATCCCTTGTGTGTCTGTTATGAATCTTGACAAGCATAAAAATCACAGCATCACAGAACGTCAGGGGTTGGAAG